TGATTTTATAAAAGTAGAGAAAGAACACAAAGGGTGTAACATAAAAAGTCACTTATTTTTGGTAAAGCCATACCATGATGTTTTATGTGCAAGAGCTATCTCCGTTGTAAAATTATGTTCCATGATATCTATTAACACTTTCTGCCTGCCTGTACTCTTTGTAGGTATCATCCTCACAACCCCTCACATATTATGTTTCAAATATTGCAAATAAAAATAAGATGGCTAGTTAAAAAAAAAAAAAAAAAAAAAAAAAAAAAGATAGGCCCTGTGTTGGTCAGTGGTTAGAGTTTTGGCCCAAGCACCAAAGGGTCATGGGTTCTATTCCCAGTCAATGGTATGTACCTGGGTTATAGGTTTGATCCTTGGCCTTAGATGGGGCACATGTGGAAGGCAACTTGTTGATATGTCTCTCTCACATCAATGTCTCTCTTTTTTTTTTACTCTCCCTCCTTCTTTCCCCCCTTCCTTCCTTCCTTTCCACTCTATCTAAAGTCAATGGAAAAATATCCTGGGGTGAAGATTAACAACAATAACAAAAGTAGTTACAATAGAAAAATCTTAAAAGGTCTCATCACAAGAAAAAACATAATTTGTAACTGTGTGATGATGGATCTTAACTGGATTGATTGTGGTGCTCATTCAGTAGTACATACAAATATTGAATCATTATGTTGCATACCTGAAAGTAATAAGTTACATATCAATTATTTTTAAATTTAAATTTTTTTTTAAAGGAAAGAAAGGGGGTAAAAAAGTCTTTGTCAAATATTTCCAACATCTGAGTCATCTTGGGGCTGGTGTTTGTTGATTTTCTTTTCCCATAAGATTGGTCAGACTTTTGTGGTTCTTTGTATGATGAGTGATTTGGGATTGTATCTGGCCATTTGAATGTTATGTTATATGATACTCTGAGTCTTGTATCATTCCTCTGGACAATTTTTTAAATCATCCTGGCTAAATTCAGGCTACAAGTTCTGTTTTGTTTTTTTTTTTTAATATATTTTATTGATTTTGTACAGAGAGGAAGGGAGAGAGATAGAGAGTTAGAAACATCGATGAGAGAGAGTCATCCATCAGTTGCCTCTTGCACACCCTCTACTGGGGATATGCCTGCAACCAAGGTACATGCCCTTGACCGGAATCGAACCCGGGTCCCTTCAGTCCCCAAGCCGACGCTCTATCCATTGAGCTAAACCGGTCCCAGCAATGACCTGTGTTTTCAATGTCAATTCAATGTTCAAAGGCTTTGTAGACCTATCCTGCATGTTTGCCACCCACAGGCCAGGGGATATCTAGGTACTTACCTACCCTGTTGTTTAGTTCTCAAAAGCTTTGGTGTTCTGTTAGGATCAGATACATGCATGTGCAGCACCGGGCATGTCCAGGAGTTTGTTCACAACCTTGTAAGATTATCTTCTCAGGTCTCTGGTCCTGTTCATAGGTGCTCCCCCTTCTAGTCCTGGACAGATAACGCTTTCATCTCCCTTCTTTGCTGTGTACTTCCTGTGACTGTATCTGCTCCTGTGGCCAAGAAAGGATAAGACATGGAGATGTGAGAGGAAAATGGGGAGGGTGAACCTAATGGGATGTGGGGTGGTAGGAGTCACCAAGAGCAAGCTGCTGGGTTGCTGCTGGGCTCCAGCTGTGGGCTGGTGCCCCAGCAGGAGACAAAACAGCTAAAATGAGCATTAAATTTAGCCAAAGGCACACAGAGGGGTTTTCAGTCCTATAGGGCTCAGTGAAGTGGAGACAGCAAGTCACCATCTGTCATATTTTGATTTGGGTTCCACATCAAGTAAATGGACTAGCACATAGCTCCCTGCTGTTAGAAGTAAGTACCAGGCCCAGGTGGAGGCTATTTGTTGGGTGTGGTAATGGAGAATTGATGCCACTCTTGTGATGCATGATAAAATGCAGGAGGTAAAAGCACCTATTAACACCGATTTACTCAAAAGCTGACCACCAGCACACACATCCATTGTTCCCAACAGCACTCTTTAGCTAAGATGGGTGGGCTTTGTCTGGCTGGCTTCACAAGAGACAAATGCCATTACAGGAGACCAAATAACCTTATTTAGGCAGTGGCCAGATAATAGAGACGCTCCAGGTATTAGCCTGACTGCATTAGTTTGATTTGTACTACTGTTCACTTTGTCCTGGGCATTAATGGAGACAAAGGCTTGGAATTACAGGAGCAGAGATAAGCTGTGGACTAGAGCCTGTGTACTTTGAGGGAAGGATAATTCTATCTTGTGTTTTCAGTTTCATTTTCGTGTTTGATTTTTCCTCACAGTTAAAGTCCAGTCTCCTTCCCTCCCCCAAATATTCACATATTCTCTCCAAATTACTATCAATTATAACTGATAAAAAAAATTCACTGGCTCATTGTTTTCTTTAACAAGGTCAGCATTTATGTTTTAGGTTTTAGGAAATGATTTTAGGGGGAAAACACAATTGGTCTTGCATATTATCTTGCTTCTTAAATATTCTTACATATTGTGGGCTCAGTTCACAATATTTAATGATATTGTTATTAGTCTGAAAATGTAAAAGGATGTGTAATTACATTCATAGTTACTTCTTTAATATTATAAATTCTAGTATTTAAAATTTTCTGACTTCAGTTATTTGTTTTAATTATAAATGTGTCATCTCTATTTTAAATTATTTCGGTTATTATGACTTTATCTATAAACAAAATTTACTTCAGTTATAGACAAAATTGAATTTTATTTAAAAAATATATATTTTTAATTCTTATCCAAAGGTATGTTTCCATTGATTACAGAGAGATAGAGAGAGACGGACACAGAGAGAGAGAGACAGAGAGAGAGACAGAAAGGAAGGGGGAGAAAGAGAAAAACATCCATCAAGTTGCCTCTTATTCAAAATAATACTGGAAGTCATAATTATAGTGATCAAACAAGAAAAAGAAATAAAAAGGCATCCAAATTGGAAAGGAGGAGGTAAAACTGTCATTATTTGCAAGTGACATATTGTACACAGAAAACCCTAAAGAGTCCACCAAAAAACTACTTGAGCCGAAACCGGTTTGGCTCAGTGGATAGAGCGTCGGCCTTCAGACTGAAAAGTCCCAGGTTAGATTCCAGTCAAGGGCATGCGCCTTGGTTGCAGGCACATCCCCAGTGTGTGTGTGTGTGTGTGCAGGGGGCAGCTGATCGATGATTCTCTCTCATCAATGTTTCTAACTCTCTATCCCTCTCTCTTCCTCTCTGTAAAAAAATCAATAATATATATATATTTTTTAAAATAACTTGACTTAATAAGTGAATTCAGCAATGTAGCAGGATACAAAAATATCACCCAGAAATCGATGGCATTTTTATACACCAATAATGATCTTTCAGAAAGAGAAACTTAAAAAAAAATGCCACTTACCATTGCGACAAAAAAATTAAGATACTTAGTAATAAACTTATCTAAGGAGGTAAAAGACCTACACTCAGAAAACTATAGGACATTGAAAAAAGAGATAGAGGAAAATATAAACAAGTGGAAGAATATACCGTGTTCACAGATTAGTAGAATCAGCAGCATTAGAATGTCCATACTACTGAATGCAATGTTTATTAAAATACCAATGGCATATTTCACAAATCTAAGTATTTATATGGAACCAAAAAAGACCCTGAATAGCCACAGAAATCTTCAGAAGAACGAAGTTAGAGGGACAACATACCAGATATCAGGTTATACTATAAAGCCCCTGCAATTGAAACAGCCAGGTACTGGCACAAGGCATACAGATCAATGGAAGAGAAGAGAGAATTCAGAAATTGTTCAATTGTTCCAAGCCATTACTCTCAATTAATACTTGACAAAGGAAGCAAGAGCATACAATGGAATCAAGACAGTCTTTTCAATAAATGGTGTTGGGAAATTGGACAGATACATGCAAAAAAAAAAAAAAAAAAAAGAAAAGAAAGAAACTATACCACCAACTTACAACATATACAAGAATAAACTCAAAATGGGTAAAAGACTTAAGTGTAAGTCATGAATCATAAAAATCCTAGAAGACAACATAGGTAGCAAAATCTCAGACATCTTTCGTAGCAATGCTTGCTGATACATCTCCTAGGGCAAAGGAAACTAAGGAGAAAATAAATGGGACTACATCGAAATAAAAACCTTCCACACAGCAAAAGAAACTATCAACAAAATAAAAAGGGAAAACATATTTGGCAATGATACATCTGATAAAGTTAATACCCAAAATATATAAGGAACTCATAACAGAAGGAAGTCAGACAATCCAATTAAAAAATAGGCAAAGGACCTACACACTTTTCCAAAGAGGACATACAGATGGCCAAGAGACATATGAAAAAATGCTCAAAGTCACTGTTTGGCAGAGATACAAATTAAAATGACAATGAGGTATATCACCTCACACCTGTCAGAATGTCTACCATCAACAAATGACAAGTGCTGGCTAGGATGTGGATAAACGGGAAACCTAGTGCACTGCTGCTGGGAATGCAGTCTTGGTGCAGCCATTATGGAAAACAGTATGGAGTTTCTTCAAAAAATTAAATATGGAATTGTCATTTGACCCAGTGATCCCACTTCTAGGAATATATCCCTAAGAAACCCAAAATACCAATCAGGAAGAATGTACGCACCCCTATGTTCATAGCAGCACAATTTACAATAGCTAAGATCTGGAAACAGCCCAAATGCCCATCAGTAGACAAGTATCACATGATCTCACTCATCTGTGGAACATAAGTAACAAAGTAAACTGATAAACGGAGTGGATCCAGAGACATGGAAGCCTGGAACAGAATGAGGAATCTTGGAAGGAAGGTAATCAGTCAAGGACTTTGTATGCATAAATGCATGGCCCATGGACAATGGGGTGGTGAGGGCCTGGGCTGGGGGTGGGAGGTTGAGGGAGAGAGGGCAGAAGCAGGCTGGAGTAGGATAAGCGGGGGAGGGATTGGACATATGTAATACTTTTAACAATAAAGACTTTTTTTAAATAGTGCTTCACATCTTATATTAATTAAGGCAGTTCTTTATAAACTGGAAAAATGGCCCAGTCTGGCAGTGGAGTCTTCCTTGGAGAACCATTAGTGCCTCTGGTCTCCCAGTTACTGCCCTTGGGGCCCTTCTGACCTCTTCCCTCCCCACCTCAGCGATAGTGGGACAGAATAAGTGCAGCTCATTGCTGACCAGTTAAGACAGAGCTCTCTATCCCCAAATGTGCTTTCAGTAAATGATTTTTGAGAGCTCCAAAATCTGAGTCATGCTACTTTTCCTCAGCAATAATATGCAAACTCCCTCTAATCTTTCTCTTGCAACAGAAAAAAAAAAGAAAAAAATAGTAAGAACCTTTGACTCTGGTTATCACTGGGACTGAAAAGGACAGAGGCACAGGAAAGAAAGAAAAGGGAAACATGGAAGAATTCAATTCAAATGGGCAAAGTTGAAATAGGCTTTTAGGAGACAAAGTCAGAATCCTCAAGCTAACATTTCAAAAAGAACACCCACTTTGGACTCCCATTAATTAAGTGGAAAACAAATACACAGATTTTCAATGGTTAGACTCCTTTCTTGAGATGCTATTTAATTCTATTTGCATCTTTAATTGACAGATACAATGGCAAATGCAAAGAAAATACATAGTGTTTGTCTCAGAAAGTGCCTTGATTATTTCCAACAAGTATGTCAGAGTACATACTCAAGGCAGGTCTTATCCCATCTTCTCAGTCAACATATTACTTGTAACAAAATATACAGATGATTGGAATTACTACACTAGAAACAGATATAAGCCAGATGTTCATTATCACTTTAAGGAATAAAATTAAAGTACAGCATTATATGAATTAAAAAAATATTTTAAAATTTGCATTTATTTGCAGCTCATTTCTTTTGTGCAATGGTATGAATATGACAACTGATACTTTTATATTTCTACTTTGGTATAATGACTTTGCTTTTTAAAAAGCTGAAACTGGCATTCTAAAAGGATTATATTGCTATATGGTGAAAAATTTTCACTGATTCATGCCAGAAATCAAGAGAAAATAAGATTTATGAATAAATCATATTTGGTAATCTATTAAAACATAACCACATGTCAAAATGCATTTGAAGGAAACTAATTGAAACAAGTCACACCTTTGTGCCATTCTCCAGATGATTTTACTTAGATTATTTTTTAAATGTACAGTAATTCAGTTTGTGGAGCCACTTAGTCACGAGTTTACTGATTTTAGCAAACTAATTTATTACATTAAATTTGCTCACTTAAAAAATAGCTTGCTGTTTCTGAAAATGTTTATTAAAATATATAGAAAAAGCCTTTAAAAGTGCCCAAGTATAACAGGTACCATGATATAGTAACTATTTACAATATATTTTCAGAAAGTGACAAGGTTCAGATTAGATGCAGAAAATAAAACATCACACTTTAAAAACTTGGTATTTCCACTGGTTCTTTGTGTTCTGCAATTGGAAAAAAACTTCACAAGTTTAGTTTTCTATCTATTCCAAGAGATTTGTGTTGAAGTTTTTCTTCACCATTAGAAACTGTGATTCTCTGTGAGACCTCCTCAGTTTGGCACGCCGATTTTGGAACCATATCTAAAATTAAGAAGACATAAAATAGCTCTCAGAAACATTATTTCATTATTCTTAACTTTTCAATAATCAGGAATAACAACTAAATTTGAAAATTACCTGGATTCTGTCTTCCTCTAGATTCAGTTTTTGAGCTAAGTCTTCTCTGATATCAATGCCAGGATAGCAGTTTACTCTAAAGACATTTTCCAACACTTCAATCTAAGAATAAGGAATAGTTATTTAAAATGTTGCTTCTTGGAATGTCATTATAAAATGGACTTTAATTTGTATAGCAAAATAATTTCATTTAAATCTTGGACTATTATTTCGTATGTCTTTTTTTTTTTTAATAAAATGACTACCCACAAATTGTTTTTAAAAAGATACACTCTGTTGTTTCATTAATAAGGCCCAAGTTGAAATCCCAGAGTGAATGGGCTTTTGCTCAACAGGGTGCCAAGTAGTCTTTGTATCATTATTATTAGTTGAAAAAACTTCCCACCTGGTTTTGAGTAAAAGCAGTTCTTGGTCGTCTGCCTCTATACCAACTCAACTCTCTTTTCAAAGACAGTCTTTCTGAGGTTGAAAAGTAACTTTCATATTTCATAACTCTTTCTTCTGGCACTGGGTGATCCACAGTACAAGAGGATAAGAGTCCATTTGTAAGGCTTGGGACATGTAGACATAGGTTAACATCTTTCTCTAAAAAAAGAAAAATAAACCCCCTCTTAGAAGTCCAATCCCACATTCCACAAAGTTTTATAAGAATTTCAGAACTTGACTTTAATTTTTCTAGTGATATTCTTCCGAGTTTCACAGGAGACTTGACCTCTCATCAACCAAAAACCAAAAAGCAAATCAAAATGAAGATCCTCCTTGGTGATAGAGGACCTTTAGGTCTCTGAATGCCATTTATTTTTCAGTGAAAAAAGAATATCTGATGTGTCAAATAAACGCAGAGATCTGCAGGTGCTTGGCCTTTCCTGTGAGTGACCTCTATACCCACTGGATTCAAGGCTGTAAGTCTTTTTATTTCCCGTAGGACTCAGCTGGGTATATTAAAGGTCCTAGATAACTTAGTTATGTAACTGGATGAAACTGCAGTTTCTTTTTAACTCTAGGCAATATAAAATTAAAGGCCAGAATAAACAGTGCAAAAGAAATGAACGAGTTTTGAAAAGCAAGCATACCTGAGGAGCTGCAGGTGTCTGCCCAAGGCCTGTGGGGTTTCATGGGTGGAGCGCCGCCGTCTTTCTTCTGGTCCAGTCCTAAAATGCTCTCGATGGAAAAGGAGCGGGGCGCGGGTTTGCTTTCCCCAAGCCGAGCGCCCTCCTGAAGGCCGGGAGACATCGCCTCGTGGGCTGCACAGGTCGGCCGCTCTGGCCTCTCCGTGCACCCCTTGGCTGGCTCTGCCCCACACGTACAGGGCAGTGATCCTCCTGCAGGTCGTGTTAGGGCTCTGCTGACAAGGGGGCTGGATTTAGAATGTCACTAATTAAAATCCTGTCTTAGAAAGTTTTAGCAAGTCAATGAACACCCGGTCAGCAGCTTGAGGAGTTAATTGTTTATTTGTTTGCAAAGCAATTAGCAACTAATGGCTACACCAGGGGGGCCACCTACAGGGACAAAAATGTGTTATCTCTCCTAAGCAGAACACAGACTTAACTTTCTCAAAAGAAGTGATGCACAAACTAGCACTCCTCTTTTATTTGAAACCATTAATGCATAAAATCATGCTTTTATTCTGAAGTTTATACTTTCATGGGCTCCAGTTACCTAAACATACAGGCAAGATAGGAAAGCAGTCAAGTAATAAATAATCTAATTTAAGTGAATTTCCTTCCAAAGAAATTGGAAAAAGTAATAATCTCTTAATGCTATTACGGTAATTCTGATGAAAATTCCTGTTTTTCATATGCATATGTAATAGTAAATGTTGTCGATGAAAGCACAATAGTGTTTGGAGTGCAGCATACTGGAAAAGGTTGGCAATGCTATTAACACTGAGTGTAATTGTCTTCCAAGTGCCTGGATTAATTCATAAGAAACAGTTGCACCAAGTATTTTAAATAATTAATGAGAAAATTCCCTTCTTTCGTCTTTTGTTTTAAATGAGAGAGAGAGAAATTTATATAAAGATTCATATGTAACTATCTCCAAGCAACTTAAAAGCATGGCTTCAACCAAAAGGGAGGGATTTCTCTCACCATAGTTATTTTAAAGAAAAGAACATAGTGTACTGTATTTGTATTTTTTAAAGAAAAATTTCCCTCTGAGGGATTGGGGGGTTTCCATGAAGACAATAGGTTTGTGAAAAATAACCAAGAACAGAATGTTTTAAATTTGTAATCCTAAGAAAACTTGAAATTAAGAGAGAAACATAGCTGCTAATTGGGAAGATTTTGAAGTGGCCGCTCCCTGCAAAAGGTACAGTACTTTCAGTTCTGTACTCTCCTCCCAGTCCCTTCCTGATGGTCAGCTTCATCATGCTTTCAAACAACTCCTGGACTTTTCTTCAGAAAAAATAGGCTGCTCATAGAGGAAATAGGCTTTGATGGAATTCAACCTCATCAGATTTTATCCCCTCATGATGTCATAAACATTACGATAAATTCTCCTATGCAAGCTCTAGAGTGAACAAAAGATTCACATACAAAACATCAACAGGCACACGTAGGATGGTGAGTAGATATATAAGTAAAGCCATGCTGAGAACTGTCAGACAGACGTGAGCAAAGCAAGGACCATGGGCCAAGAACAGAAAGCCCAATGCCTAACCAGGAGCAAAACAAGAACCTTGCTCCAAGGTAACATATCTTCCCCTCGCATATCATTGGTCATGAAGTTTAGACCTCCCTGACCTTTTCCTCCCTAAACATAGCATATAGGCTTTTGTTGTATTTCAGCTCTGGGTCCAGAAAAGTAGCAAAACAGACAAGTGACACCATGGCTGACCTCAGAGCTAGCTCACTGACTGTGAAATGACCCCTGCCCTGGCACAGACCAAACAGTGGAGACCAGGACCCTGAAGAGCACACCTGGAAAGCTGATGAATATTCTATTGAGATATTCCCTGAGACTTCCCCTAAGATTTGAGAGGGGGGGGGGAGGGGGGAGGGAGGGAAGAGACAGACAGAGAGAGAGAGAGAGAGAGAGAGAGAGAGAGAGAGAGAGAGAGATATGCTCAGGACAAAGGCCCCAGCGGGCAGTCTTCTATCCCTCTCTTCCCCCACAGGCACTCATCTCCTAACCTCTAAGGGAGCCCATGAGACTTGCAACAGGGGGAGCAATGGACAGCAGCATCCCCCAGGCTACCCCCCTGATCCTGTCTCCGAGGCCCCCTTTTCTCTGACTTTTCAATGAGACCAAGCAGCCCAGGCTAAGCTTTCCTGTTGCTTTTTTTATGACCTTCCTTGCTTCACTGTCCTAAGTATACTTTTGCTGCCGTCATGGACCCAATACCATTTGGCTCAGTGCTGTGTACCACTTCCCTTTGGATATCTCCACCAACCAACACCTTTTCCTTAAATAAATTCAATTTTTCGCTATTCGCCCTCTGAGAAGGCTACTTAGCCTGTCCAGTACCACTGACTTGAACCTTTCAGGAATGAATAAACTAGTAAACATTTATACCTAATGGAAGTTTTACCTATAGTAGATAGGCTGTACAAAAATGGGGGTGAACTTAATCTAGGATGATTTGAAGGAAGAGAGACTTCATACCCTTCCCTCCCAGATTCCTTTCTCTCCTCTAAAACATTCATTCATTCGACAATTGGTTGAGTACCTACTCAGTACCAGAATAGATAGAATAGGATCCGTGCCCTCATGAAGCTCACCACGGTGAGGTAGGGGTGGAAGACGGGTAACGAACAATAGTAAATAAATAAATTCACACATTAATTAGAAGAATGGAAAAAGGAAGCAGATGAGCCAGGTAAGCTGGATCAACAGTGCACAAGGTGGGAAGAAGCCTCACTGAAAGTGTGACCGACACAGAGTAATGCCTCAGAGGTGCAAGTTGAAAGGATGCTATAGCACATGCTGGAGTCGCTCCAGTCCCCAAGTGCTTCTTTATCAAGAGGACATCCCAATATTTTTATTTGTCTTGAGTTGATTTTATCTGGATTTATATACCAGTTTACATATAGGTAAGTTGGTAAAAATCAAAGGTAGGAAAGAATTCCTCTGAAAATGGGGGTAAATGTTTTCTCACATAGTCACTCAACAGAATTTTATAGAGCACTTAATATGTGCCAGACACAAGTCTAGGTTAGAGATCAGGGTTGAACAATACAAGATAATCAGAGAGTGGTAAATCTCATTAAGAGGAATAAACAAGCCGAAATCGGTTTGGCTCAGCGGTGGAGCACTGGTCTGCCGACTGAAAGGTCCCAGGTTCAATTCCGGTCAAGGGCATGTACATTGGTTGCGGGCACATCCCCAGTGGAGTGTGCAAGAGGCAGCTGGTCGATGTTTCTCTCTCATCGACGTTTCTAGCTCTCTATCTCTCTCCCTTCCTCTCTGTAAAAAGTCAATAAAACATATTTAAAAAAAAAAAAGAGGAATAAACAAGGTGATGGTGATGAAACTTAATAGGGTGGGTGGATAGGTAGGTGGGGAGAGGGTCTTTTAAGTATAACAGTTGGGCAGGCCTCCCTAAGGAGGTAACATCTTAGCCAATGCTGAGGATGAGAGAAAGTCAGCATGCCAAGATACTGAGAAAGAACATTCGGTTTAGGGAACAACAAGTACAAAGGTATTGCAGCTGAAAAGCACTGGAATATTTGAGAAAGAAAAGGCAATAGTCAAAGGGAAGTGAGTGGTACCAGATGCTATTATTTGGAGGACCAGGCTGGGATAGATAATGGATGGCTTTTATAAAAATCATGGTAATGAATTCAAGTGCAAGGGGAAGCCAGGGTAGAATTTTAAGCTGGGACTGACAGGATAGTCTGAGCAGTTTTTCCCCTCTTAATCCTAACCGGAGAATATTTTTCCATTGATTTTTAGAGAGAGTGAAAGGGAGGGAGAGAGAAAAGGAGGAGGGGGAGGAGTAGGGAGGGAGAGACAGAGAGTGAGAGACAGAAATGTGAGAGATACATTGATTGGTTGCCTCCTACTAATGTGTCCTGACTGGGAAATGAACCCTTTAATGTGATGCTCTAACCACTTATCAACATTGAACAGGGTGTTTGCGCAGGCTTTACTCACAAAACTTCTGACATGAAATGTATATGGGTTTTCCATTCCAAATAATTCTCCCAATTCTCTGCAGATAACAACTGGGTGTCCTACAATTCAACTCAAGTCTGACACTAACTTCCAGGAGTTAGCACAAACCCCACAGGTTCAGTCCCACAAAACTGCATCCACTTCAGAAATCAATCACAAATCCTAGGTGGCCACTTATACTTCTGACCAACTGGCCACAAATCCAAGGTTTCCATGAACCCTACTTAGGCTCAGTTATGTGCTAGAATGACTCCCAAAACGCAGGAAGTACTTTACTTATGTTTCCTGTGTTATTATAAAGGATAATAACTCAGAAACAGTCAAACCGAAGAGATGCATAGGACAAGGAATGGGGGAAAGAAGCTCTCTGAGCCACTACCCTCCTAGCACCTCAATGTGTTCAGCAATCAGGAAGCTCTTTGAACCCAGTTGTTTTGTGGAGGTTTCATTACATAAGCTTAATTGTTTAAATCATTAGCTATGGGTGGCTGACCTCAATTTCTAGTTCCTCTTCTCTCCCCTGAGGTTAGGAAGTGGGCTGAAAGTTCTAAACTTTTTAAAAAATACATTTTATTGATTTTTTACAGAGAGGAAGAGAGAGGGATAGAGAGTTAGAAACATCAATGGGAGAGAAACATCCATCAGCTGCCCCCTGCACATCCCCTACTGGGGCTGTGCCCGCAACCAAGGTATACATGCCCTTGACTGGAATCGAACCTGGGACCTTTCAGTACACAGGCCGATGGTCTATCCACTGGGCCAAAACGGTTTTGGCTGAAAGTTCTAAACTTCTAATCAAGGTTAATAAACCTGGAGGCAGATTGATTAAGAACAGAAAAACACAAATTACCAATATTAGGAATAAAGAGATGTATAACTACAGAGACCACAGACATTAAATAGGAAAGGATTATGAACAACTTTATACCAATAAATTCAATAACTTGCATAAAATAAATATCTTTAAAAGCTATGATTACCAAAACTAAGGTAAGATGCAATAGAAAATATGACTAGTCAAATATCTATTAAAGAAACCAAAAGGGTTTGGCTCACTGGTTAGAACGTGGGCCCGTGGATCAAAGGGTTATGGGTTCAATTCCTGGTCAAGGTCAGGTTCTATCCCTGGGGTGTGTATGGGAGGCAAGAAATCAATGAGTCTCTTTCATGTGGATGTTTCTTTCTCTCTTTCCACCCTGGCTCTCCCTCACTTCCACTCTGTCT